GGCGGAGGCGGAAGCGGAGGCGGAGGATGAGGCGGAGGATGAGGATGAGGCGGAGGATGAGGGTGAGGGGGAGGGGGGGGAGCAGGGGGATGGGGGAGGGGGATGGGGAGGAGGAGGGGGAGGGGGAGGGGGAGGAGGAGGATCAGGATGAGGAGGAGGCGGAGGAGGAGGAGGCGGAGGAGGATGATGATGAGGAGGGGGATGAGGAGGAGGATGAGGATGATGATGATGAGGAGGAGGAGGAGGAGGAGGAGGAGGAGGAGGAGGAGGAGGAGTTGGAGGAGGATGGGGGGATGATGATGAGGAGGAGGAAGAGGGAGAGGGGGAGGCGGAGGATGAGGATTAGGAGGAGGAGGCGGAGGCTGAGGAGGAGGAGGCGGAGGCGGAGGAGGAGGAGGACGAGGAGGAGGAGGCGGCGGAGGTGGAGGCGGATGCGGAGGCGCAGGCGGAGGAGGAAACGCAGGGGCAGGGGGGGGGATGATGAAGAGGAGGATGATGAGGCGGAAGAGGATGAGGAGGAGGCGGATCAGGAGGAGGATGACGAGGACGAGGACGAGGCCGATGAGGAGGAGGAGGAAGACGGCGACACATAGTATTAATTCATATACTGCTAACAGTGGCAATCATACGAATACTCGTACGAATAGTGGTAAGGCGAAGCCGACTAACAAAACGAATATTCAGAGCATTACTAATAGCACTATGAAGAACACGCGTACTACTACGACCAACACTATCACTGATGATACGAAGACTAATGAACATACTAAGCATACTACTACTAACACCAATAATAATACGACTATTCATAACAACATCATAATTCTACTACGCCGGGGCGTACGAATACTAAAAATAGTAACACTACGAAGAATCATACGAATACTGTGATTAATAGTAAGAAGAATGATAATACGAAGAAGACTGCGAAGACGAAGAGGAGGAGGAGGAATGTGATGAAGGGGGGGAAGAGTATGAGGAGGATGAGGATGATGAGGAGGAGGAGGCGGATGCGGAGGAGGCGAAGGAGGAGGCGGAGGAGGAGGATGAGGAGGAGGAGGAGGATGCGGAGGATGCGGAGGAGGCGGTGGAGGAGGAGGAGGACGAGGAGGAATAGGAGGACGCGGCGGAGGCGGAGGCGGAGGCGGAGGCGGAGGCGGCGGAGGAGGAGGAGGATGATGAGGAGGAGGAGGTAGGAAGCGGAGGAGGAGGAGCAGGAGGAGGAGGAGGCGCAGGAGCAGGAGCAGGAGCAGGAGCAGGAGCAGGAGGGCGAGGAGGAGGAAGCATATTTATAATTCCAATGTTAAGAACAATGATAAGCATGCTGCTCATACGGGTAATACTACTCACAGGAATCATGCTAATACTGCGAAGCATAATCATACTACGACGAGTACTACTACTACTACTACTACTACTACTACTACTACTACTACTACTACTACTACTACTACTACTACTACGAATAAAACGAATACTCACACGCCTAATAACCATACTAAGCAGTATATTCATACGGGTAACACGACGAACCTTATTAATAATTTTGCTAACAAGGGTAAGAGTAGTTCGAACACGAAGACTACGAACACGAATCACACCATACGGATAACACGACTAATACTAAGACGAAAGGAGGAGTAATGTAACTAGTACAACTAATCGGCAGACTACTACGAATACTCATAATACGAAGGTTACTACTAATACGAATAATAATAATATTAACAATGCGATGAGGATGATGATGCGGAGGAGAACGAGGTGGATGACTACTAACACTAACACTAACACTGGTACTTGTACTATATGTAGTAATAACACCGATGGGAACACAACACATCGGACTACTAGTACTAATACTATTCACACTCGTGATACTAGACATGCCAATTACAACAATAATACACCTAGTACTGATAATATTACTGATGCTACTCATGGAACTAAAACTAATAATACTGGTTATACGTTTAGTAAGAGTGCGATTACTTTATTCATTGGTTGGTGCATTAATTCATGCATTCAAAAAAGAATAATGACTCGCAAGGGCACCTTGCGTCTCCTGGTCTGGCCATCTTCAACGCGTGTTGACGCGCGCGTCCTTGGCTTTTGCGCCGTTCCGAGGATCGTGCATGCTCCATCATTATTGTTGAATTTTGACTGCCTAGGAGGAAAAGGAGGAGGATGAGGAGGAGGAGGCGGAGGAGGAGGAGGAACAGTAGGAGGCGGAGGAGGAGAAGAAGGAGGATGGCTCAGACGCCACGATTATCCGATGTAGGTCCGCGCAATGTCAAAACGGAGGACGACGAGGATGGGGTTCTATTCAACATAATGGACGGGACAGGCTCTGGGCAAGGAGGATTGGCGACGCGCTCTGAGCCAGACTTGTCGGCCACAGCCGTGCCGACTGATCTGACACGAGATTCATTCGGCATTCCCACTGCGAGTGCTTTCAATGCCAAGTCTGCCAGAGCCACCCTGTCGCCAGATTGCGCCAACGTTCAGAAACGGTTGCGCTTGAATCGCGAAGTACGCGTCACCTCCTGCCCTTCTCACTGTGCAAACTCCCCCTTTCATGCAATCGTCCTCGTCTCCCTCCCACAATGCACTCTCGGCAGCAGCCATCGCGTGGTTTTCAGAACTGGTGTCCAACCCTCTTTTGCTGATGAGCGTCCGCTCTGCCCCTCTGCATATGGAGGTTTCCGCATTGAGGCATGCCCTGACCGCAACTGTTTCAATTCTCCTGCCTTGCAGCATCCGAGCGTCAACGCGAGTGCCACTGTTGGCATGGTGTTGTGGGCGAAACCTGCAGCTCGCGCTCGCTAGCCAACCACTCCGGCCATCACAGCTGTCAGAGTCACCGCGTCACCAAGTTGCCCCGACGACGGAGACGTTTCTTTTTCTTTTTGGCATCCCCCCAAATGCCAGCCTGGAGCCTGTCTCACCGCGCGCCTCCAGCGATGAGGAGGAGACGGAGGTGTGTGATAGATGAGCCGGGGTGGTGGAGGAGGCATGCCCTGACCGCAATTGTTTCAGTTCGCCTAGCTTGCAGCACCCAAGCACCAACGAGAACGCCACCGTTGGCAGTGAGGGATGGATGATTCAACTCGCCCAGCTCGGAGCGCCCCAGCGCCACCGCAAACGGCGCCGTTGGCATGTGGGTGTTGGCGACCATGTCTGCAACTCGCACCTGTTAGCCAACCACTTCGGTCACCGCAGCTGTCAGAGCCACCGCGTCACCAGGTTGCTCCGACGGTGGTGACGTTTCTTTCCCTCTTTGGCACCCTCTCACACCCCACCGCCAGCTCGGAGCCAGTCTCACCGCGCGCCTCTTTACGACGAGGAGGAGGTGGGTGTGCGTTTGTGAGAGAGAGAGAGAGAGAGTGTTGAGGGTGGGTACGGGGAAGTCGAGGGCGAGGATCCTGTTCTGCCCATTTTGTCCGTCCTCCCTGGTGGCGCGGTGCCGCCGGGGAGTCGATCACCCCCCGGCAGCGACCGCTGATAGGGGGGGGGGGGTAGGCCGCCTTCGATACCATAAGGCCGTCAGTCCTGAGAACTGAGTCCTGATTCCTGAGTCCCGAGTGTTGAGTCCTGAGTCCAGAGTCGTGAGTCCTGAGGAGGAGTAAACGGAGGAGGAGGAGGAGGAGGAGGAGGAGGAGGAGGAGGAGGAGGAGGAGGAGGAGGAGAGGGAGGAGGAGGAGGAGAAGGGGGAGGAGGATGAGGATGAGGAGGAGGAGGAGGGGGAGGAGGAGAGGAGGAGGAGGAGGAGGAGGAGGAGGAGGAGGAGGAGGAACAGGAGGAGGAGGAGGATGCGAGGTGGAGGAGGAGGAGGAGAGGGAGGAGGGAGGAGGGAGGAGAAGGAGGAGGAGGAGGAAGAGGAGGAAGAGGAGGAGGAGGAGGATCGCCGATCGCCGGCGAGGAGGATCGCTGGCCATGGCTGCGCCCCGGTTCCCAGGTACCCCATGTGGGTGGTGACCCCGTGGCTCGTGCTGTGGTCCCTCGTCACCATGGCCCCGCCCCGCCTTCACCCTGCTGCCGCCTCTGCCGAGCTGTGACTTCTGGCGGCCGTGCAGCCAGCGAAGGTGGGAGGGAGGAGTGGAGGGGGAGGACGGTGGGAGGATGGCAGGAGGCAGATGAGGAGGAGGAATGGGGGCAGGCAGAGGAATGGGAGTGTTGGATGGAGGCGGAAAAGGAGGCTGGGAGAAGAGAGATGATGATGATGATGATGAGGAGGATGAGGATGACGAGGGAGGAGGAGGAGGTGGAGGAGGAGGTGGAGGAGGAGAAGGAGGAGGATGAGATGACCAGGGTAAACCCAAGACGCACCAACGATGTTGCAGTAAACCCTCCTAAGTTTCATTTCCATGAGTTCTTACACTAACTGATTTCATTATTTTAAGTGTCCCATCGGACGACATTCCTCTGGTAACCCTCAATCGTGCCAACATGCATTCGTGGCATTTCAACGCCGAGGGTCAATGTGATTGGTGTTTCCGGTCAACCCGAAATCATGCCACCACACCATTCCTGGGACTTCAACCACACGAATCCCTGAATCAGTTGCGGACTTTTTAGACGATTGTGCTCGGCGCCAAGGCGAGAACCACCTTCTGAAAAATGGCCGCCCTCCATCATTGAAGTCATCTCAAACTTTTGAGCACAATGTGGGCGGTGCTAAGGCGAGAACCACATCTTGAAAGCGGACCGCATCCCTGAAACTGTAGCAAACGTGTAACACGAGTGTGAACGGCGCTAAGGCGGGAGCCACACATTGAAAACCACCCGCGCTCCATCCCCGAAACTGTTTTACAGTTCGAGCTGTAGGATCATAGGTGTTGAGGAAATGGCACCCGACACGCCTGACACGTCTGGGTGTTCGGCAGGACGGAGTTATCCATAAGGAGCAGGGATGGAGGAGGAGGAGGAGGAGGAGGAGGAGGAGGAGGAGGAGGAGGACGAGGAGGACGAGGAGGACGAGGAGGAGGAGAAGAATCAGAGTAATCCCAGGCATGCGCCAGCGACGTTGCGATGCACCGTCCCATCCCAAGCGCCCTCCGCACAAGTCCCCGCGGGCATTCATGCTCCGCTGCAGGAGGCGCCCCCGCTCGACAGGCAGGCAGACACCTTGCAGGCCTGCCATTGAGGTGAGACCTCGTTTTGCAGAGTGGCCGCCTCCCATCCCTTGCCTACAAGAACTGCACAGAGTGAGGCGGGAACCGCCCCCGCTCGACACGCAGACACCTTGCAGGACTGCCATTGCAGGCCTGCCATTCAGGAGTGTCCACCTTCCCTCCCTTGTCTGCAAGAGCTGCCCAGAGTGAGGGGTCAGACGGTCCAGAGAAGCGTCCGGCGGCGTACAGCCATCTCTGTTCTGGACAGGGTTTGCCCCGCCGCATCCGTGCAAGCGTTGCACATGGTCGGTGCTCGTGTCAGGAAGCCGAGGAGGTCTCGCACGATAATCTGATTTACGGAAAGGCGTTGCGCTTCATTCGTGTACTTGTTGCACAGTCTTGATCTTCGGGTCATCAAGTGTGAGGGTCTCTATGTCGGGAAGCCCCATTTTGCGAACGAACCGCCCTCCATCCGTGTAGCCTCCGTGTTCTGCTTTCGACGAGTGTGCGTGGGCGCTGAGGGATAGCGGGGGAGTAACTAGCTTTGCCGCGTTCCTGCTGTTGCTATCTAGCGCTTCCCGCCTTCACGTCGCCGTCGACAGCAAATGCGCGGCGCTAGACAATCACCTGTGCTCCAGCCGTGCAATTGCTGCAGCTTCGAGCTTCTGGATCACGCATTGTGAGGAACTCCCAGGCGAAGTCTCAGCGCCCGGCCCGCCCTCACGGCACCTCTGGTAGGGCGGCATTGCGGATTTCTTCGTGAGGTGGAGGATGGATGTTGATGATGATGGTGGAAATTTTGGTGATGATGATGATGATGATGATGATGATGATGATGATGATGCTGATGCTGCTGCTGATGATGATGCTGATGGTGACTGATGAAGATTGTGGTGGTGGTGGTGGTGATGAGGATGATGCTGCTGACGATGATGCTGATGCTGCTAATGTTGATGATGATTATGATGATGATGATGATGATGATGATGATGATGATGAGGATGAGGATGTTGATGCAGAGGACGAACACCGGGATGATGAAGAATCATAGCATACGAATATTGATGTAGTCTTGATGATGCTACTGATGACGATGATGATGCTGATGATGCTGATATTGGTTATTATGATGATGGTGCTGATGAGGATGACGATGATGCTGTTAATGATGATGATGGCGATGTGGATGATGATGCTGCCGCTGCTGATGATACTCATGTCGACGATGATAATGCTGATGAGTATGATGGCGATGATGATGATACTGATGATGATATTTATGATGATGACGATGATGTTGATGCTGCTGATGATGATTAAGACGATGATGTTGGTGATGCTGATTATGATGATGCTGATACTGATGATGGAGCTGCTGCTGCTGATGATGATGACGACGGTGACATTGATGATGAGCACGATGATGATGATGATGATGATGATGATGATGATGATGATGATACTGCTGTTAATGTTGTTGCTGATGATGATGGGGACGCTGCGGCTGCTGATACTTACGACGATGATGATGCTGCTGCTGATGATGTTTCTGGCGACGCCGATGATGATGATGATGATGATGATGATGATGATGATGATGAACATGATGAAACTGATGGTGATGATTATGATGCTGATGCTGATGCTGAGGATGCTGCTGTTGATGATGATGATGCTATTGATGATGGAGATGATGATGTTGATGCTTATGATGATGCTGCTGAAGCTGCGAGTGTGATGATGACGATGATGATGCACATGATGTTGATTATAATGACGATGATAATGATGCTACTACGGATGATGATGATGCTGATGATAATGGTGATGATGAATTAATGGATGTTGCTGATGATGCTGCTGCTGATGATGCTGGTGATGCTGAGCATGATGATGATGGTGGTGAGGATGGTGATGACGATGATGATGCTGCTGTTGCTGCTTGTGGTGATAATGATGATGCTGCTGCTGATGATGATGATGATGTTGATGTTGATGTTGATGTTGATGATGATGATGATGATGATGATGATGATGATGATGATGATGATGATGATGATGATGCTGATGATGATGATGATGATGATGATGATGATGATGTTGAGAACGAGGACGAGGACGAGAACGAGGAGGATGATGATGATGCGGAGGATGAGCATGATGATGAGTACCGCGTTTGCTATTATCGATTTGTCACTTTCGGGCTTCCGAAGGCCTTCAGGGAGGCTTCTGGAGACCTCTGGAGGCCTCGAGAGGCCCCTGGAGGCCTCCGGAGGCCTCTGCGGACCTCCGGAGGCCTCGAGAGACCTCCAGAGGTCGTCACTGCCACGCCACTTCCTTTCAGTTTCCCTGAGGTCGCAGTCGTGTTGCCGTCCTCGCGTCCCTTATCGGCTCCTTTGTTTTTGGTAAGTTTGTTTCGTCGATTCCTCTCGCTTCGCGGGGTGCACGTCCGGAGCACGTACAGTCACGTCGTCGCGGGGCCTCTTGGGAGCCTCCTGGGGGCCTCCTGGAGGCCTCTTGGGAGTTTCTTTGGGCCTCTTGGGGACTTCTTTGGGGCCTCTCCCCCCCCTCTTTTTCATACTCCCTCCCCAATCTTCCCTTCCTGCGCCGGCTCTAATCACGGGCGCCGCCGTGACCAACTTCCACCTGGTTAGCGTTGCGCCGCAGTTCGCCCAGGGGGAGAAAAATAACATTACACTCCAGTCGTGTGTTGCCTTGTGGGGGCTTCTTTGAGGCCTCTTGGAGGCTTCTTGGGGACTTCTTGGGGGCCTCTTGGGTTTTTTTTGGAGCCCCTTGGGGGCCTCTAGGGGACCTCTCGTGGCCTCTTGGGGGCATCGTGGGCCGTCTTGGGGCGCTTTTGCGCCGTTCCGCTCTTTCGGAGGCCGTCTTGGGGGCCTCTCGCGGCCGCCTTGGGGTTCTTTTGGGGTCCTCTTGGGCCGTCTCAGGGTTTTTTTGGACCGCCTTGGGGGCCTCTTTGGGCCGTCTTGGGGTCCTCCTGGGCCGTTCGGGGGCCCTTTTGGGGGCTTCTTGGGCCTCTTTGGGACAATTTTGGTGGCTGCCTGGGCGGCCGCGGGCTTTTGAGAGTCGAAAAAGGCGAGAACGCTAAAATCATCCAAAAACGATCGGGACATTTATGATTTTGGCTTCTGGAGGCACTCTTGGGGGTCGTCTTGGGGCCCTCTTGGGACGTCTTAGGAGTTTCTTGGTCTCTTTTGGGGCCATCGTGGGCCGTCTTGGAGCTGTCTTCGCCCGTCTTGAAGCCATATGGAGCCGTCTTGAGGCCCTCTTGGGCCTCCCAGAGGACCCAAAGTCCCGAATCATCGATTTTACATAGGTTGTGGTACGTTTTTGAGCTCCAAATGGGGGTGGCCACTTTGGGTCGACGGATGTGGCGCAGCCCCTGGGGGGGTTAGGGGGGAGACATAATAATGAAACACAATACAATATGTTGGAATTATGCAATCTTTGGCTGCGTAGGATACGATGCATTAAGGCGTTCGCCGGAAAACGCTGCCGCTCAGCACGTCACCTCCGGACGTGGATTTTGGCTTCCGGAGGCGCTCTCGGGAGTCTTTTTGGGGGCCTCTTGGACCTTCTTGGGGGCCTCGTGGGCCCTCTTGGGGCCATCTTGGGCCGTCTTGAGGCCGTCTTGGGATGTCTTGGGGCCATCTTGGGCCGTCTTGAAACTTTCTTGGGGCCCCAAGAGGCCCAAGAGGCCGAACTTGTTGATTTCTTATCGGTTTTTGTAGGTTTTTGGGCCCCAGAAGGGGTTCACCATCTTTGGTCGACGGATGTGGCGTGGCGCTGGGGGGGAGGGGTTAGGGGGGATACATAATAATGTAACACAATGCAATACGTGGCAATTATGCAAGCACTGGACATAGGATCCATTGCATTAGGGCTTCCGCTCCGCTGCGCGACCTGCCTCCGGCAACACGTCACCTCCGGACGTGGACTCTACAGGCTGACGCCACATCCGCCGACCCCTTTGATTTCGTCGGGGGCCTTATATCGAAGGGCCCTCGGCCCGTCCCGCCATCGTGCGTACGTAGGTTTTGGGCTCGAGTCCTGTGGGGTGCTTCTTGGGGTTCGGAACCCTCTCGGGGGCCTGCGTGTGTGTGTGTGTGTGTGTGTGTGTGTGTCTGTGGGGTGCAGTTTGGGGGCCGTTTGGGTCTCTCGGCGCTTCTTGGGAGCCTCTCGATGCCGAGGGCTCGAAATGTCCGTTCCGGTCCTCCATCTGGCCCCCTTTTGGAGCCGTCTTGGGCCGCCTGGGGCCGTCTTGGCGACCTCTTGGGCCGTCTCGGGGCCCTCTTGGGCCGTTGTGGGGCCCTTTTGGAGGCCTCTTGGCCCGACTTGGGGCGATCTTGGAGGCCTCTTGGGCCATCTTGCAGCGTCGGGTTAACGGAAACGGCGAGGACACCAAAATCCTTCAAACACCTGAGGGAATCAATGGTTTTTGCCTTTTGGGGCCCTCTTGGGAGCTCTCTTGGAGGGGTCTTGGGGCGTTTTGGGGTCATCTTGGATCGTCTGGAGGCCATCCTGGGCTTCTTGGAACGATCTTTCGGCGACTCGGGGCCCTCTTGGACAGTCTTGGGGCCCTCTTGGCCCGTTGTGGGGCCATCTGTCCCCCATGGCGCGTTCGTCCGGGGCCGAAGGGGGGGGGGCGGGGTGTGTGTGTGTGTCATCCGGGGCCAGGGGGGAATTCCAGTTTGGGGTTCCTGGGAGGCATTAGGGGAGGAAAACCCACACGCCTGGAGACCTACAAGGTGTCAGCGGATTTTTTTTTTTTTTTTTTTTTTTTGTTATCTCTCTCTCTCTCTCTCTTTCTATCGTTTTTTTTTATCCCCCTCGCTCTCTGTGTCTCTCTCTCTCTCTGTCTTGATCTACTTTCTTTCGTTCTCTCCTCTGCCCCTCCTCCTTCTTTTCTCTCCTCCTTCTACTTTTCTCCTTCGCCCCCCCCCACTCCTCCGACCCTCGTCGTCGTCGTCGTCGTTGTTATCGGTGCCGGCGCTGGTGTTGGCGTCGGCGTCGGCGTTGCCGTCGGCGTCGCCGTCGTCGTCCTCCTCCTCCACCTCCGCCTTTTCCTCATCCTCCCATGCCCCCCCTCCCGCCTTTCCCTCCGCCCCCTTTACCTTATAACTCCTCCCTGTCGCACCCCGAGACGTGTCGGTAGGGCGGGCTGGGTGTTTCGCCTGAGACTCCAGCTAGAGATTTGCAAGAGCTTCACAGATGGAGGGCGGGTGGTTTTCAGAATGTGGTTCGCACGTGAGCGCCGCGCACATTCGGTCCTAAATGTTTGCAGGAGTTTCACGGATGGAGGGCGGGTGGTTTTCAGAATGTGGTTCTCGCCTCAGCGCTGGGCGCACTCGGTTTTAAACGTCTGCAAGAGGCTCATGTATGGAGGGCGGGTTGTTTTCAGAATGTGGCTCTCGCCTTAGCGCAGCGCGCATTCGGTCTTAAATGTTTGCAAGAGTTTCACGGATGGAGGGCGGGTGGTTTTCAAAATGTGGCTCTCCCCTTAGCGCCGCGGGCATGCGTCTAAAAGCATTCCAGGATCTTCGCGGATGGAGGGCAGTACCTTTGCCAAATGTGGCCCTCGCCTGGCCAAAGACCCCATCATGGAAATGGTCATGGCGAAAGACTTCGTAAGGATTTACATCAGTTTCAAGGATTTTTACGGCTGACGTTCCAAACATATGTTGTTTTAGCGCGATGTGTAGGACTGTCACGGCGCAACAGTTTCGTTCATTCGCGGTGTTGAAATTCCAGGAATAGTGATCTGGCACGGCTCAGGATTTTCAGAGTGTTGTCTTCCATTGGGGCTTGTTCTGCAGCGGACATGGATCATTGTAGGGGCCGATCACAAGGGAATCAGGAGGGAAGTTTTTTTTGGGCAGCATGGTTAGTGGGTCTCGGCTTTTCTTTGGTCCTCCTCACCGTTGTGGTCGTGCGGGACGGGACGGTCGGGGTGTCCCGGGCTGGTGAGGTCCAGGCCAAGCCCCCCGCCGACTTCGTGGCTCGGGCCTCACGGGGTTGCCGATGAAGAGAATCCTCGCGGTCGTCGTCGCCGTCGTTGTCGTCGCCCCCTCCTCGTCCCACAGGTGAGGGAGGAGGCCGAGGGAGAGGGATGCCACCGCGGTGGTCTCCTGGAGGCCTCGGGAGGTTCCCACCTTGGCCGAAGACTCCCAGGCACCTCGACCCAAGATGTTCCTCGCCCTCCTCCTCGCCGACGTCGTGATCTTTCCAGCTCGTGGCCCCAGGACCACCCGAACCCTGCTATGCGGCACGGCTTTCTTGCGGGCTTGTTCTTCTTGATTGTCTTGGGGCCCGAGAACGCTTCTCGGAGGTCGAAGATGTCGGAGCACCTCCATTTGGTCTTTGCCAGGACGTCGGAGGTCCTGGCCCCTCCTTCCCTCCCCCAAAGCGTCGGAGGAATCCAGCCGTGGCGACGGGAAGCCCTTCAGAGGCCGAAAATCTCCAACAATTGTGCACAACAACATCGATCTTCCATCCTCGAACCTCCTCGTCGACATCCCCGCCCACGTTGTTCTTCCCTTCGCCCTCAGTCGTCGATCCCCCCTCTTCTCCTCTTCCCAGGCGCACTCCTGGTGCACCGTGCCACCCCCTGTGCTAGGCAGCGGGCCTGCAGGCCAGGCCTCCTACTATGTGCTCGTGTCAGTCCCGCAATGGCACCGGTATTGCTGCAAGGGCAGGACAGCTGCGGGCCCTACCACTGTTTCAACAGTTTTGTCTTGAGCTCAGTCTCCGATCGTCCTCCTCGATCGTCCTCCTCGATTGTCGATCACTTCGATCGTCCTCCTCGATTGTCCTCCTCGATCGTCCTCCCCGATCGGCCTTGGCGTCCAACAGTCCTCGATCGTCCTCCTCGATTGTCGATCACTTCGATCGTTGGCCCTCTTCGATCGCCGACCGCCGCGGCGCAGGTCATCTTCCAGAACGCTGGCTCCGTGGGCATCCGCCCCAAGCGCTATACCGTCGAGTGGCTGCAGGCCCTCTCCTCCTCCTGCTTCGCCTCCTTCTGCTTCTCTTCCTTCTCCACTGCCCCTTTTTTCTCCTGCTGCCTTTCTTCCTCCTGCTCCTCCTCCTCCTGCTGCGGCTGCTCCTCTTCCTCCTCTCTTTGTCTCCTCCCTCTTTCCTCCCTTCCTCCCTCCCTCCTTCTGCTCCTGTCGCTCATGCTGCTGCTGCTCCTCCTCCATTCTCCCTCCTCCCTCTCACCCACCTCCCCGTCCCTCCATCCCTCCCTCCCACCCTCCCTCCTTACATCACCCTTCTCTTGTCCCCCCTCCCCGCGCGTGTTTTCCGAGGCGCGTGGGATCGTCGGCTGGGGCTTTGGACGCAGCCGTCGTCGTCGTCGTCGTCGTCGTCGTCGTCGTCGTCGTCGTCGTCGTCGTCGTGGTCGTCGTCGTCGTCGTCGTCGTCGTCGTCGTCCATTTTGGCTTTAGGCATTTCAGAGGCCGCGCCCAGGCACATCGAGACTTTACATTCGTTTCACCTGCCACTCACTTTGTCTGGCCCGACGTATCACATATTCGACACACTTTCCCGCGATGACGACGACTGCTGTCATCAGTGGGGGGCTCCCGAGTTGGGCCGCTCATCCTGTCGGGCAGCCCGTCGTGCGTACTCCTTTCTCACCGCCCCTGGCAGCTGGCGCAGGTGATGGAGTTGACGGTGATGCGGCGTATGGCCCCACTAAGAAACAGTGCTTCGGTGGAGGTACTGGTGAGGGGGCAAGCCCCATTGTTGGCAGATGACGGCGAGGACGAGGATACGGACATCGTTCCCGCTGCTGTGGCTGCTCCAGACTGGCCCGCAGCAACACCTGAAGGATGGAAGCAGGGCGAGGCTCGGCTGTTCCGCGCCCAGATCCAGGACTTCCGCATAACCATGGCCACCTCTGTAGCCCCTCGGGACAAGTCTGTGACTGAACCTCCAGGCCAGAGATGTAGTTCTCGAAAGCAGTGATGCTGCAGGTGCAGGTAGTGCTGGTGGAGGAACACAAGCGCGTGGACCAGGCAGCGTAGCAGGCTCAGATGGATCCACAGTGGGCCCTCCAGCTTTCCGGCTGCCAGTGTGCAGGCGACAGACTCTGTGTGGGTGGATCTGTGTGTTTCGGGCCGGGCGAAAGGGGGGGATTGGGAAAGGGGGGGTTACGAAATTTGCTGCATGCAGCTGGTTTCGGCCTCACCGAGGGGCCCATTCCTCGATACATAGCCGCCTCCGGCGCCGGGAGGCGCCGGGAAAATCAGCTACGGGAGCTGATTCTCAAACCCCCCCTTTGCTATCCCCCCCTTTCGCCCGACCCGAGTGTTCTGAAGGGGTTGAGGTCGCAAGCGATTTGAAACATATTCTGATTCAGTCACCTCGCATGTGTGAGGAAGGTCTTCGCTGTTGGCCGCTGTGCAGACCATGTGAAGATCGAGTTCGAAAATTTTCTGAGAATGTGGAATTGTTTGGCCGAGATATTAAGGCAATGAATTTAGTTCGACACTGGTTTTGAGGGTGGGCTGCAGCCGTGGCGCACGACCGATCAGTTCCCCGAGGAGCTGTCGTGTCAGAACCGTGCAACGAATGCGAAATGTATTCTTCAAGACGCCGTCCAGAAGAAGTGTCCTGCTCTGTCCCCCGAGATGCTCACCGCCATGACCGACGCGTCCAGGGACATGGTTTTTTAATCGCACCCTTGAGACAGCATCGGCCGCTGGAAGTGATGCCGAGAACATCGCTCAAGGTGCTGCTGCGCAGCTTCCAGACCCACAATTTGAAGATCACGAGCGGGGCCCAGGAGCGGACCGCACAGGGGGGGACCGAGCTCAATCCGAACTCGACGATGCGCGAGTTCACTTCGTTCTAGCGACGACGCGATCCTCACATCCTGGAACTGTATGGGGGGTCCTTTCAAGAGTGCCGCGCGGGGGCTAGACTGCATGGAGGCAAAGTTGCACAGGGGCTAATATGCCGTCAAGAACTCATCGATGTGCAGAATCATGATAAGGAGGTGATTTTAGGCCACCCTGTGATCTCATGGCTCTCTACAAACAGGCGGAAACAAGTGCGCACCAGTCTCTGAAGGCGGGTATTTTTGCCGATCCCGTGCGACAGGGAAATGGCCTAGCCGTGGGTATCGTCGCCCCCCACGGTGGATGCGTGTGGATCGTTTGTTCTTTCCGACGCCGATTCCAACCCGCGTGCCGTGTATTTCAAAGATATTGACGACTGCGAGCATCTGCAGAATCTGTGTCTGGGAGATTGCGCATTGGTTTTGACTTTGGATTCTGACGCTTCGTTTGGCCGGTATCGTCCACCAACCGCACCAGTGCGGCCGCGCTCAGCTGGTGTGGGTTCGTGGAAACCCGATGAGTTCTACGCGCTCGTGGCGACGAAAATCCGCATCCGGAGCAATTCCTGGAGCGAGCCGCGGGCATGGCAGCTATGGGCCCAGGCATATTGACTTCGTGGCGATCGCTGGCCAGCCGCCGAGGGGATCGTGCGATTGACTGCCGCGCCCCTGTGTGGCGTCGACAAATGGTTGTCGCTGCCCGCGAGTTTTTCGCTTCTATGCTTCGAACTAAGCTGAAACCTGTCTTTGTGCCTAACGTCCTTGCACTAGGCAAGTGATGAGACGCTTGGGAGTGAAGAGCCTCCGGAGGTAAGATGTAATCCTGGCGATGCGTCTCATCGTTTGCGCAGCCACGGGCACTTCTAACGTGTGTCGTCACTGCAGAGTGACCCGTGGACTGGGCTTCGCAGTTTTCCACGTCCTTCTTGGCGCCCCGCAAACTTTGAGGGCATCTTGTGCCCGTGTCGGTATTCTTGTGTATTGATGCGGGCCCGTTAATTTTAACCCTTCAGATGAAAGCGATCTAGGATTATGCGCGCCGACATCGCCGTGTAGGTGTCGGGTGCGATCGAGATGGGGCACTGGTTGCCGGGGGTGCATCTGCTCCGGGCGGTGTTTCAATCCCAAAGAGCTCCTCGCTGGAGGTTGTTTTTGATTCAACGTGTCTTGAGGGTCCTGGATAATGAAATGAAGCCCGAAGACGGCGTCGTCGCGTGGTTCCTCGGGCGGTTCATTTGGGGCCCAGTTCGGAGGGGGCGCTCTGTATTTTCGATGGGGAGAAGGGGCGCGCGGGATTGAAAAGCAATGCGTTTGCTGACCGACGCGCCCATTCAGTTGGCAGGGGCTCTGTGGCCCCCTCCTGGAGTCTCACCAGTTTCTTTCCCGTTGCGCTCCAGTTGAACATGGGCCCGCATTTTGTCGCAGGTCTTGGCGCGAGCTCTCGGACGAGCCTCGCGAGACGTCCTCGACTGCGCCGAGTAGTCGCGAAAAGGATGATCTTCGACCCGGCACGATTGCTCGCGGGGGCCGTCTGGGGCTTCCTCTCCCGATCCTGGGCGCGTATGCTTCCCTGGCGGGCCACCTCTGCCGGAAGCCCCACCCACCTCCATTTCCCCCCCCGTGCCGGAAGCTACCCTCCCCTCCCCACCTTTCGAAAAAAGGTGAGGGGCGGCTTAACTACCACCCCCCTCCCTTGAAATCCCCCTGCCGGACGATCCTCCCCCGTCGCCGTCGTCGTTGCTGTCGCCGTCGCTCGACGTCATCGTACGACGCTGTCGTCGTCCTCGTCGTCGTCGTCGCCGCCGTCGCCGTCATTGTCGCCGTCTTCGTATGCCCTCGTCGTGGTCCTCACGACGAGGACGAGGTCATACGAAGACGGCGACGGACGACGGACGACGCACGACCGACGACCGACGACGACGACGACGACGATCCAGGGTCAGAGAAAACGAAACCACGACCCAGGGGCTGAGAAAAAGAGGAAACGCAGCAGGGTCCGAGAAAACGAGATCATGGCCCAGAGCCCCGAGAAAACTAGAAAAACGAGAAAAAGAACCAGGGTCCGAAAAACGAACCAGGGTCCGAGAAAACGAGACCACGGCCCAGGGGCCGAGAAAACGAGAAAAACGAGAAAACGAACCAGGGTCCGAAAAACGAACCAGGGGCCGAGAAAACGAGACCACGACCCAGGGGCCGTCAAAACGATACAACGAGAAAACAAACCGGTGCCCAAGAAAATGAGACCACGACCCAGGGGCCGAGAAAACAAGACAACGAGAAAACGAACTAGGACCAGAGAAAGGGAAAACACGACCCAAGGGCTGGGAAAACGAGAAAACAAGAAAACAAATCAGGGCCCGAGAAAACGCAACAAAAACCCACAAGCCGAGAAAACCAGAAAACAAGACAATGAGACAGGGTCCGAGAAAGCGAGATAAAGACCCAGGAACCGAGAACACGAGAAATCGAGAAAACGAACCAAGGTCCGAGCAAACGAGACCACGACCCTGGTAGAGAAAACGCAAATATCGGTCCGAGAAAACGAGACAACGACCCAGGGGCCGAGAAAACTAGAAAATGTGAAACGAACCAGGGTCCGAGAAAACGAGACTACGACCCAACGGCCGAGAAACGAGACAACGAGAAAACAAACCAGCGTCCGAGAAATCGAGACCACGACCCAGGGGCCGAGAAAACAAGAAAACGAGAAAATGAACCAGGGTCCCGGAAAACGGGACCACGATCCAGGGGCCGAAACAAGAAACGAAAACACGAACCAGGGTCGGAGAAAACGAGACCACGACCCAGGGGCAGAGAAAACGAGACAACGAGAAAACGAACCAGGGGTCAGAGAAAACAACACCACAACCCAGGGGCAGAGAAAACGAGAGAGCGTGATAACTAACCATGGTCCGAGAAAACTAAGCCACGACCCAGGGGCAGAGAAAACGAGAAAACGAGAAATCGAACAAGGGCCCGAGAAAACGAGACCACGACCCAGTGGCCGAGAAAAGGAGAAAACGGGAAAACGCAACGGGGTCCGAGAAAACGAGACCACGACCCAGGGGCAGAGAAACCGCGAAAACGAGAAAACAAACCAGGGTCCGAGAAAACTGGACCACGACCCAGGGGCCGAGAAAACAAGAAAAC